TTCTTTGACCATCTGCACCTCACCATGGAAGACAGGCTCCGCGTGCAGATCTGGGTGCAGGAGGGTAGCCAGCCCAGGCCCATGGCGAGCAGCCAGAATTTCAGCGGGAAGTTGGTTGCGGACCGGCAGTCCTGCCAGAGATAGCACAAACAGTCCCCCATGTTCTGGCCGACAGCGGGATTGTTGAACACTCCTCTGAAGGTGCACTGAAATGGGACTGAAGTATCCAGGACTGTGCTCTTCTCAGTCCAATCACCAAATCTTTGCCCAATTACTGGCTCTGTTGGTGAGCAGGGAGATCACAAAGTGGACCCAATCTGCATCTTCCTGGAACTAGCCTGAATGGTGATCTATGTAGAGTCCACGTTGCATTAAAAAGCCGTGGCACTGGCCAGGATTGCTGTTATAGTGCTTGGGCATCGCAATCGAAATTCAAGAGGGTGGACACAGAGGGGGCCGTGCCAGGAGAGTGGAGGCAATGGTGCCCTGCTGGAGCCGCCCAACCAAAACGGTAAGTGGGTGATCCGGGTTAGGGTTAGGGTTAGGGTTAGGGTTAGGGCATCCACAAGGCTCCATGATGCCTGCAAGGTATTCTGTCATGAAACAGAAAGCTCAGCTGGCACCCAGCTGCAGACAACAGAATTTATTTACAACAAAGCAGACAGTAATGGAATCAATAGGCAGGATTATTGTCGGGGTGACAGAGTGCGAGGGCGTCAGTCCTACGCAGAGTGCTTGAGATAGGAGGCAGGCACACTGGGAGAAGCTGGGGACTTGTGTCAGGATGTGAGCATGACTGGCATGATGGGTCAGGGCTTAACAGGAGATAAAGAAAGTATGCTGAGTATGTGGCATTCAGCATCAGCAATGCGTGACAGTCTGGAGTTTTAAAAGCGGGCGACCGGTGTTGCAGCATTGATAGTTTGGCATGTTCATGAGGGAGGCTTAAGAAGGCACCTGGGCAGGCTGGTTGTGAATAAAGAAACTTCATGTGTGATATTGCTTAACTAGCATATTAACTGACTTGGTATGCATTCTTTGAACTTTGTAAAGAGAGACATAAAAGCAGTGCAAGTATGCAGATAGGAATTAATTCAACCTTAGAAAGCAATGTCATCATGGAACAAAGCTAAAGTAATGATTTGTTTGTCTTTAATTACTGTTAATAATAGCCTGCCTAGGACATGTTTTGCCCCTTTTGAGATGTAGGATCACACATGCACATACGACAGAGCTTAGATTCCAGATGGCCTGAGACAAGGCCTACCCTGGTATGAGAGGTACTCGCTGGCCTAGGCACCAAAGGGGGGCTAGTGACCCTACACACACACACACACACACACACACACAGAGATAACAAGGGAGACCAGCACTCCAACTTTAATGGCCCAAAGATTTAGGAACCTACAGACAGCAGAGTGGACCTCAAGGACAGGGGTCCCTCGACTTGGCACACAACCCCCTCCCCAGACATCCTGCCTTACATACCACTCACCCAACAGACCAACACCCTAAAGAGAGTTTCTTGTAAGTTTGGCTTTTGTATACCCTGTATGTTTGGTTACTCATGATTGCTAGTCTCAATATCCAGATTGTTTAAGGACACACACAAACATAACCTATCTTAGTGTTTTGTGTGCCACCCTTATAATCATGTTCACGGAGTATCACCTATTTTACCCCTCACACTTATATGCTTATATAAATTTGAATAAATAAATATGTATAGCTGCCACTGCATATATGTTGTCATGGTTATACCAGAAGAATCTTGAAAATTAAATAGTGTAACCAGGGGGCTGTTCCATGAAATGAGCTTATAAAATCGAGGATTATTTGTAATAGCCTGAGTTAGCTTAATAGCTTGAGTTAGCCTAACAGTTCACTTCAGGATCATTGAGTTCCACAAACAAAATTCAGGTGTAGGCCTATTTAATTTCCACTAATTCAAGCCAAGCTTGACAAGCGAGGCTCGTGCGCATCCACGCGATATAAAAGGCAGCCTTGTTAATCAATGCTGGATAAGTAAGAATGGAAGGAAAGGAAAGAGCTGCGTTTTTTTCTCAGGCAGAGCAAGAATTATTACTGCAAGCCTATGAGGACTACAAAGACATAACAACCAGAA